ATCATGCCCGAACTATTTTCGGGTTGGGAGAATTGAGACTGATTAATATCTTTAATATTTTGTTTATTTAACAGCGATAAAATCATATAGCATCTAAAAATCTAATAAGTATAATATGTAATAATTTCTACATAATTTGTCATTAAAATTTGCCTCATCATAAGTGTTGCATAATTTAGTATTAACTTTGCTGATTAGGTCGAAGGTGAAATTAGCTGTATTGGCCACGAACTCCGCACAGTGCGATGCGCGTTACTTATCATCACTGCGTTGTGTCGTCACCGGAAGCGCTGTCCCAGCACAAACCTGTCGTTGTGTCGTCACCGGAAGCGCTGTCCCAGCACAAACCTGTGTCATATGACGCCTTACGGCTAGTACGGCCTTACGGCGATTTGGGCTAAAATTCCGCTCCGCCGCCTCTTTACAACAGTGTTTGTTTATACGCGGAACTTGATATTGCTTTTTACAATTTGGGTTGCCTTTGAATCACATATTTTAGTGAAATATTGTTTATAGAGTGAAATATTATTGTCATACATAATTCAATCTTTGAAACAACAGAAACTAACACATAATAACGATAATCAAATTTGTGTTTGAAGTTCAAAAGTAGTTATTTCCGGTTTCAACTAGTTCGAAAATAGAACGTCCTTGAGCGCAATAAAATCACGCATAGAACTCCATCCGAACCAGACTCTAGCAGCGTAAACTTATTGCAATTTGCGCGATTTGGGCCCAGTTTGTTCTTACAAGTTTTCTAAGTTTCATTTATCATTATTTAGTAAACAGGTCTCTGAAACAATTTAATATATCCGTAAAATACGTGGCAATCGACGATGGACTTCGAAACGTTCAAAATTTCGAACAAACTCCCGGCACACCTAGCGCGTCAGATCGGTGTAGAAGACGCCGAACTGCAGCGTCAATGATGACGCCTTACTAGCTGATTTTGGCTAAAATAGCGCTCCGCCGCCACTTTACACCAGTGTTTATACACGGAACTTGATATTGCTTTTACAGTTTAAGTTGCCTTTTGATCACATATTTTAGTGAAATATTGTCTAGAGAGTGAAATATTAATGTCACAAATAATTCAATCTTTGAAACAACAGAAAGTAACACATAATAACGATAATCAAATTTGTGTTTGAAGTTCGAAAGTACCCGCGTAATTTCCGGTTTCATATAGTTCGGAAATAGAACGTTCTTGAGCGCAATAACATCACGCGTAGAACGCCTTCTGAACCAGATATTAGCAGCGTAGACTTATTCTAAATTTGTCCAATTTTGGGGCCAGTTTGTTCTTACAAGTTTCCTAAGTTTCATTTATCATTATTTAGTAAGCAGGCCCCTTAAACGAGTTAATATATCCGTAAAATACGTGCCAGTCGACGATTGACTTCGAAACATTCGAAATTTCGAACAAACTCCCGGCACACCTTGCGCGATATGCGTCAGATCGGTGTAGAAGACGCCGGACCTGCAGCATCAATGATCATCACTGCACAAAGCAGCTTTGCATAGAACTCATTTGCATATTCGAATATGTTCGAACTACAAGACCCTGTCGGTTAACAAAGTTATGCGTAAGTCACTCGGTTACTTTA